TTAGCCACTTGAGCCACAGGCACTGAGCCTGTTTGTTTGTTTTGAGGCAGAGTCTCACTCTGTCATCCTGGGTAGAGTGCCATGGTGTCAGAGCTCACAGTAACCTTAAACTCTTGGACTGAAGCAATCCTCTTGCCTCACCCACCCTAGTAGCTAGGACTACACGTGCCCTCTATGACACCTGGCTAGCAGAGAGCAGGAGCATCACTCTTTTTCAGTCTGGTTTTGAACTCCTGACTCAGCCAGTCCACCTGCCTCAGCCTCCCAGACTGCTAGGATTACAGGTGTGAGCCACCACACCTGGCCAGCAACATAAATTTTGAAAGCTTTCTCCTCAAGCTTATGCTGCCACTGCCAAATAATCAGTTTACTTTGTCCTGAGATAGATAGTACTGATATTTTCCATTTCTTTCAGACTTGGAGATCAGCTCTGTGACTACTCAGGAGATACCTCCAAAAAAGAGCATTTGTGGACAGTCAGCTTCGCCAGTGGAGGGAATTTTAAGGGCTGTACTTGGTGATACCAAGTTGAGGGAACCCCAGGCATGTTGCCATCCATTGGAGGACCTGGGAAAGCAGGAAAGGCATTTGAGGTGCTTATTTGCTACTACCAAGGGAGATACCTCAGGGGAGAAAGGCCTTAGAAGTAATGACTTTGTGAGAAGCCTGAGGTGGGCCTCTGTCCTCATCAGGAAGCAAAGAGTCCCTGGTGGAGAGAGGGCCCAGAAGTGGAGCAGGCCACAGAAGACCTTCAAACACCAAAGGACCTTCATAGAGAAGAAACCATTTAACTACACAGAATGTGAGAAAGCCTTTGTTTACCATTCAGACTATATTCTACATCAGCGAATTCATACCGGAGAGAAACCCTACAAGTGCAATGAATGTGGGAAGGCATTCAGCAACAGCTCATATTTCATTCAGCACCACATCATTCACACAGGAGAGAAGCCCTATGCCTGCCACAAATGTGGCAAGACCTTTACTCAGAGCTCATCACTTACTGAGCATCAGAGGATTCACACTGGAGAGAAGCCCTACAAATGCAAGGATTGTGGGAAGGCCTTCACCCAGAGCTCATCCCTCATTAAACACCAGCGATGCCACACTGGGGAGAAACCCTATAAATGTGATGAATGTGGGAAGTTCTACTCACAGGTGTCCCACCTCACCCGCCATCAGAAAATCCACACGGGGGAGAAGCCTTACAAATGTGGTGAGTGTGGCAAGGCCTTCTGTCACACTTCTTCCCTGACCCAACACCAGACCATCCACACTGGGGAGAAACCATACAAATGCAATGAATGTGGGAAAACCTTCAGCCACAGCTCCTCCCTGACTCAACATCAGCGAGTCCACACTGGAGAGAAACCCTACGAGTGCACAGAGTGTCACAAAGCCTTTAGTCACAGCTCCTCCCTGACTCAGCACCAGAGAATCCACACTGGTGAGAAACCTTATGAATGTCTTGAGTGTGGGAAGGCTTACACACAGATTTCCCACCTTATGAGGCACCAGAGTATTCACATGGGAGAAAAGCCCTACATATGCAGTGAGTGTGGAAAGGCTTTCAGCCATACCTCATCCTTTACTCAACACCAGACAATTCACACTGGTGAGAAGCCCTACAAATGTAACGAGTGTGGGAAAACCTTCAGCCAGAACTCTTCCCTCACACGCCACCAAAGGATTCACACAGGAGAGAAACCTTATGAGTGTAACGTTTGTGGGAAAGCCTATACCCAGATCTCCCACCTTATTCAACACCAAAGGATTCACACTGGAGAGAAACCCTATGAATGTAGTGAGTGTGGGAAAGCCTTCAGTTGGAGCACCCATCTCATTGAGCACCAGAAGATCCATACTGGTGAGAAACCCTATAAGTGTAAAGAGTGTGGGAAAACCTTTAGTCATAACTCATCCCTCACTCAACATCAGAGAATTCACACTGGTGAGAAACCCTATGCCTGTAAGGAATGTGGGAAGGCCTTCAATCAGAGCATCCACTTAATTCAGCATCAAAGAATTCACACTGGAGAGAAGCCCTACAAATGTAATGACTGTGGGAAAACCTATACCCAGATTTCACACCTTCTCCAACATAAAAAAGTCCACACTGGTGGCAAACACTATGCCTATAAAGAGCATAGGCAGGGTTTCAGCTGGAATTCACACCTCAATGAGTATCAGAGACTTCATACAGGGCAAAATGCCTATCTTGGTGATGATTTTGAGAAAGCCTTTGCTTGGGGCACACAGCTTGCTAATCATCAGAGAACTTACACTGACTACACAACCTGAATGTGTAATGAACTAGCAGTTCTGCCGTTAGGTTCTGTTCAGCCTTCACCAACACTAGGAAGTCCAGGAAAAATTTCACCTTCAGGAACAAGTGGATCCAGGTCCTTCAATGACCTTTCAGAAATCTGTTTAGGAACCCACCTACCACCACATATTGAGATAGTTTTTTATTTTGTTCCCTAGAGTGAGGATAGTATAGCTCATCACCAGCTTGGATAGCTTATGATTGTTTGGGGGGCTTACTCTACATATTTCCTCAGCCCTACAATGACCCCAGCTGGTGGTATAGTTAAGGAATGTCTAAAAGAGATGCCATCATCTGAGATCTTTTATAACAACTCTTTCCAAGCTTGTTAAACTGATTGATCTTTCCTTAAATTGAAGCCTGAATAGTCAGGGGAAAAAAGTTGTAAAGCTTCACCTTCTAAATTAATTATTTTAGTTCCCTCTAAAACATTTAAGCTACAAATTTTACAACCTGTAGTTGGCTTAAACAATAAATATGTTCCCAATATTTACAGCCATTTAAGCTGTCCTGTTGTTTCTGTTTATTACATTTCCAGGACTTAGGCTTTATAAAGCTATTACCCTCATAAGCTCATGTTTTTCTTTTTCTTTCTTTCTTTCTTTTTTTTTTTTTTTTTTGAGACAGAGTCTCATTTGGTCACCCTCAACACTGCAGAGTACTGTGGGCATTTTAGCTTATAGCAACCTCAAACTCTTGGGTTCAAGTGATCCTCTTGCCTCAGCCTCCCAAATAGCTGGAAGTACAGATGCTCAGCACAACGCTCAGTTAATTTTTTTTTAGAGATGAGGTCTCACTCTTGCTCAGGTTGGTCTCAAACCTGTGAGCTCAGGCAATCCACCTGCCTTGGCTTCCCAAGCGCCTATAGGCATGAGCCCAGCTTTAAGCTCACAGGTTCATGCTCTTTTTTTGTTTGTTTGTTTGTTTGTTTGTTTTTGAGACCGAGTCTCACTGCGTCACCCTGGGTAGAGTGCTGTGGCGTCACAGCTCACAGCAACCTCAAACTCTTTCAGGCTTAAGCAATTCTCTTGCCTCAGCCTCCCAAATAGCTGGGACTACAGGCACCTGCCCCAGTGCCTGGCTATTTTTTTTGTTGTCATTGTTGTTTAGCTGGCCTGGGCGAGGTTTGAACCTGCCAGCCTGGAAGTATGTGGCCAGTGCTCTATCCACTGAGCTATGGGCACCACCAAGCTCATGCTCTTAAGCCATGGCACTCTACCTAGAGTGACAGCTTGGGACTCTGTCTCAAAAAAGAAAAAGTATAAATATTATGTTTAAAATAAAAATAATATTATGTTTAAAATATATGGTGAAAAATCTCCCTTTGGGCATGAATAAAAATGATGCTTAAGAGTATAAGCTTTGTTTTTATTCATGCCCAAAGGGAGATTTTTCACCATATTTTTAAAACATAATATTGTTTTTATTTTTATTTTATTTATTTATTTATTTGCAGTTTTGGGCCAGGGCTTGGTTTGAACCCACCAGCTCCAGCATATGAGGCCAGCGCCCTACTCCTTTGAGCCATAGGTGCCGCCCAATATTATTTTTATTTTAAACATAATATTTATACTTTTTTTTTTTTTTGAGACAGTCTCAAGCTATCATCCTAGGTAGAGTGCCATGGCAAAATCATAGTTCACAGCAACCTCCAACTCTTGGACTCAAGTGATCCTCTTGCCTCAGTTTTTCATATTTTTAGTAGAGATGGGATCTCACTCTGGCTCATGTTAGTCTTGAGCCTGTGAGCTCAAGCAATCCGCCTGCCTTAGCCTCCCAGAGTGTTGGGATTATAGGCATGAGCCACCGTGCCTGGCCTATTTATACTTTTATAGCAGGAAAATTTGGGGATAAAATAACATATGTTCAGCATAAGGATAATTTGGAAGTGTGGAGAAGAATGAAATAAAATGACAATTCCCTGTGATTCCACAACTAGAGAGACTCATTAGTCATTCTTGGTTGTGTTTCCTTATGTTTGTTTGTTTTAGTCTGTATTCTATATCCTATGTTGTCAGAAATTTTCAATTAAAAAAAAAAGCCATTTACTCACAATTTGGCCACCCTTATAAATCATATATATGATGATATATAAAAAAAATTTATATATATATAAATGGAGACAGAGCCTCAAGCTGTCCCTCTAGGTAGAGTGCCATGGCATTACAGATCACAGCAACCTCCAACTCCTGGGCTCAAGCAAGTCTCCTGCCTAAGCCTCCCAAGTAGCTGGGACCACAGGAGCCCGTCACAACACCCAGCTATTTTTTCGGTTATAGCCATCATTGTTGTTTGGCGGCCTGGGCTGAATTTGAACCTGCCACGTTAGGTGTATGTGGCTGGCACCTTGGCCACTTGAGCCACAGGTGCTAAGCCATAAATCATATTTTTAAAAATTTTTATATTTTCTTCTAAATATTTTAAACAAATATAACTTTATTTCATTGTAATCAAGTGTAGAGACCAATTGCCCTGATTATGCCATAAGCACTGTCTTTGTCACATACATATCATTATTAGGGCTAACACTATGTCATTGAACAGTTGAAGAATAATTTACTAATAAATTTCCTCATTTAGATTTTTGTTCTAAACTCCTGACTAACACTTGTTGGCTAATTCTGCCAATTATGAATAAGGTTATAATGAGGCTGGGTGCAGTGGCTTACACCTGTAATCCTAGCACTCTGGGAGGCCAAGACAGGTGGATTGCTGGAGGTCAGGAGTTCAAGACCAGCCTGAGCAAGAGCAAAACCCTGTCTCTACTAAACAGAGAAAAATTAGCCAGGCGTGGTGACAAGCACCTGTAATCACAGCTACTGGGGAGGCTGAGGCAAGAAGCCAGGAGTTTGAGGTTGCTGAGCTATGACACCATGGCACTCTACTGAGGGCAACATAGTAAGGATCTGTCTCAAAAAACAAACAAACAAACAAAAGCGTATTCTTTGTGAATGATTCAGACAAAACAAAAATGAAGCTGTAGTGCCTTATAAATCTTCATTCCAAAGATCCTGGACTTTTTTCTGTAAATGTGAATCCAATCCCCTTTTTTGTTTTTATGAAACTGATTACACACACACACAGGGTGCCAAAAATGTATACAAATTTTAAGCAAGGAAAGAACTGTATTAAATTTGTAATACTCAAGTTACATTTGACTTCTGCAATTACAAGAGTGACTTGTATTCATCTTTTGTTATCCGTATATATTATTACAATTTTGATACAGTTTAATGTGTATACTTTTCTTGGCACCCTCTGTATATATTCACATAGATATATTTATTACATTTATGCTATTATATATAGCATAATCATACACAAACATGCTTTTAGAAGTTACTTTTCTAAATTGTTGTGGATAATTTCCCACAACAATACAAAATGCATATTGTATATATTATACAAAAATATACATGTAAGTACATGTATATGCATCGAGCTGCAAAATAGTTCATGTTAAGATTTCTTCAATTTATTTCACCAATCCCTGTTAATGGATGTTTGTTTCCATGTTCTTTTCAATCATTGGACATTCATTACTTGGCACATGTTGTCCATAAGATGAATTCCTACAAGAATATTTGGGATCACAGAATGCCCACATTTAAAATTTTCATAGTTGGCTCAGCGCCTATGGCTCAAGCAGCTAAGGCATCAGCCACATACACCTGAGCTGGCAGGTTCGAATCCAGCCCAGGGCCCGCCAAACAACAATCATGGCAGCAACCAAAAATAGCCAGGCATTGTGACAGGCACCAGTAGTCCCAGCTACTTGGGAGGCAGAGGCAGGAGAATCACTTGACCCCAGGAGTTGGAGGTTGCTGTGAGCTGTGATGCCACAGCACTCTACCCAGGGCAATAGCTTGAGGCACTGTCTCCAAATAAATAAATAAATAAAATTTTCATAGTTATTGCTAAATAGTCCTTCAAGAAAGGATAAACTAATTTACATGACTCCTAGAAGTGTATATGGGTGCCTTTCTGTTCTCCTACTGCCTTCTCAAATAAAAATGTACTAATGACAGTGATATTAATGATCTTTTATGGGCTTGTTGATGATGAATTCTGAAAATTCATACTTCATTTTTTTTGTCCATTTTTATTTTTATTTATTTATTTTTTGAGACAGAGTCTCACTATGTTGTCCTCAGAAGAGTGCCATAGCATCACAGCTCACAGCAACCTCAAACTCTTGGACTTAAGCGATTCTCTTGCCTCAGCCTCCCAAGTAGCTGGGACAACAGACAACTGACACAA